AACCTTAAGTATATATCGCCGGTATCGCTGCTGGCCAACTTTGCGCTGTTATTTGGCCTGATTGCCACACTGACGATCGCCTTCTCGGACGGTCCGATGCCATCAGTTGCGGAACGGCATTATTTTACGAGCGGCAGCCAGCTGGCGCTGTTCTTTGGCACCGCACTCTTCTCATACGAGGGCATTGCCCTGATCCTGCCGCTACGCAATTCGATGCGCGAACCCGACAATTTCAGCAGCCGTTTCGGTGTGCTCAACGTAACGATGCTGTTCATCACGGCGCTGTTCATTTTCACGGGATTCGTTAGCTATGTGCGCTGGGGCGAGGATGTTGCCGGCAGCATTACGCTCAATCTGAATGTCGAGGATGTGTGAGTACAGGCGAAAGAATCAATAACATACCACGTTGAGCATTAAATCATATACATATATTCATATTATTTCGTGCAGCATGTCGCAGGTCGTTAAGATGGTCGCCGCCTTGGGCGTCTTCTTTGGCTATCCCATACAGTTCTTCGTGATGATGAAAATATTGTGGCCGCCCGTTAAGCGTGCCAATGGCTGTGCCCAAAAGTATCCGATTACCATGCAGGTGGCCCTGCGTTTCGTCATGATCATGATGACATGTAAGTTGTAAATATCTCTCTCAGTGTAAATATCTAAAATTAAATCCATATTGCTCTGTCTCTGGTCACTTGCAGTTTGCGTCGCCCTGGTGGTGCCTCAATTGAATCTATTTATCTCACTGATCGGTGCATTATGCTCCACCTCGCTGGCATTTGTTATACCTGTGATCATTGATTTTGTGACACGCACCCAGGTGCCCAAGGGCCTCGGCACCTGGATCTATTTCAAGAATATCGCCATTCTAACAATCGCCCTGCTGGGCATTGTCACGGGCACATATCAGAGCATTGTAGAGATTATTAGAGAGTTTAACTAGTAGTAGTAGTAGTAGTAGTAGTAGTAGGGCTTAATGGGCCCGAGTGCTTGCCAAGTATTTTGTAAATATGCTGTAAACGTGTGAAATACCTTATAACGTTTCATTGTCCTTCTATGCTAAGTCTTATATATATATATAGTATTTTTTTTTTTTTTTTGTTTGTGCTATTATATGTTATTAATTTTAAGTTGTGCCTGCCGTGCCTGTTTATATGTGGCCCGATTGATTTAATCGTCAACTGTTAATTGGCTTTCAAAGAAACGAAACTAGATAAAACAAAAATATATTTTAATAAATGATAATAATACATTGTCTTTTATAAGTTTGATTTTAAACTTGGCGCCATACATGTGAATACTTTGGGCATTTATCAACACTGCCGCAGGGCTGCAACAACGCTTGAACAGTCTTAAAATTGATTTAACAGTCGATTTTAGGAATGTTCTACTGGCCGGGACCCGAAAGGCTCTTCTCCATAAACCTCTTTCTCGCAAAACATATCCACCATTTGTTTGGCTTATCATCTGTCGTATCGAAGACCTTCTCAAGCACTCGATAGCCGGTTTCCTGGCGCAACTGCAGCAAATACTCACGCATCAGATCGGCATTATCTGGCTTGCTATAGACCGAATTGAGTGGAAAGCCCGCATCGCCTGGTATATCAAACTTCGCTATGGCCATGGCATAGAGCTCCTGCTGCCCTTGCTCCTTGCTCGTGCAACGAGCCAGCTTTTTCAGGCATTCGGTAATGTAGAGCGTTATATAGATAAGCACACGATCCACTTCCGACTGCAATACAAGAATTCATTATTTAACATTATTGAACATGTTGTGCAGCCCTACCTTGACTTCATATGTGCGAAAGAAAACGTTTGCTTTGAAATAATATAGTGACTCATCAATAATATCGTTATCAGCGTTAACACTGGGCGCTGGCCCTCGTACTTTGGTGCGCAACGGCAAAATGGCCATGTTTCCCACCTGCCGTTGGAACTCTTCTATTTCCGAATGATAGGCCTAGAAAATTATAAGCATAAGCAAGAATTAAACATTTCAAGTTCAAATAATTGTTCAATGGCGCTAGAAATATGTAGTATAGGTTCCAGTATTACTCATCGATCATTTATTCATATGTTTTGTGAAAATGCGATAAGTCAAGCTACTTACTGGCATTTTGAGAGGATGGTAATCAACTGTGTGCCAACATTAAAACCGACGGAATTCAATTGTTTTCTTTTTATCAACTGCACTTTTTTTTATGCGCGAAATACTTCAGCCCTGCGTTATCGAAAAGTAGTTATCGAAATTTTAAAGTTTGACGTAAGACGCTATGGTCAACAAGTGCGAGAAGTTTGTCGAATATGTTAAGCCAAATGTTATTTTACAGTACGCGAGCACGTTCAGTGTGGAGCAAATGATGCTTCGATATTTTCGTATTAAAAGTATACGGTCACACATGAAGCGCACGTTTTGCACTAAAAACAAATGAAGAAAAAACTAAAAACAAAATCCGCAACGCTGCCCGTTGATGTGGAAAGTGATGACGAAATGCTGCCCAAATCAACGGAGCTAAATGGCAGCACAGATAAAAGCATTGAGGCAGTCGCCGTTCCCAGCGCAGATGACAATGATGACGACGACGATGAAATGGATTTGGCCAACTTCAAAGCCGGCGCTAAGGCAATCGTCCAGCCAAAGAAACGCAAAAAGGGCATTATTTATATATCGAACATACCAAAGCACATGAATGTTACGCGTCTGCGTGAAATTCTGGGTGAATTTGGCAAAATCGGACGGGTCTACTTGCAGCCGGAAAAGCAGCCGGGTGAGTAGTAATTGGCGCCCCTCCAGCGCTCGCTTATGCCAATTATTTTCCTTCTTCTTCTGCTTTAGGTGGCGACAAAAAGGCCAAGAAAAATAAACGCAAACGCTACAATATTCATTTTACCGAAGGCTGGGTGGAGTTCGAGTCGAAGCGTGTGGCCAAGCAGATCGTGCCGCTGCTTAATAACAAGCAAATCTCGACGCGCAAAAAGTCACAGTTCTTCGACTCGCTGTGGAGCATGAAATATTTGCCGCGCTTCAAGTGGGTCCACCTGACGGAGCGCATGAATTACGAGCAGGCGGTGCATAAGCAGCGTCTGCAGACGGAGGTGTCGCAGGCGCGCAAGGAGACGACCTTCTTCCAGAACAATCTGGACAAGAGCGAACACATAAAGAAGCTGGCAAAGAGGGCGAAAAAGTTGGCTAACGGCGGCGAGCAGGAGGCGTAGTAGCAGCAGTTTAATTATACCTGTTTTTTTTTTTTATATTATTATATAGAAATAAATATAAGTCGGCGCTAACGGCGCTGTTGATTTACATGAGAAAATCCTCGCGGTGCTCATTTATGCGTTCACTGAGTTGCTTTTTGCGTTTGTGACTCGAAATTTTGCGCATACGTACTGTTAGTTTTACGTTGCGCGAGTTGTGTTTGTTAACAAAGCTCCGTTTATTTTAGACTTGCTATTGCTAAAAAAAAAGTTAAGTGGAAAAATATATTTAAAAATTAACCCTGAGAATTATGCTAAAATCGCTGCATACTTACATCTAAACGGTTTCCATACTCTTCTTTTAGAACTGTTAACCAACTGTTGCGCTCACAGAGAGCCTGTTAACTTAACAGTCGCTTTTTGGATTCAGTCACATAAAACTCATTGAGCGGACTGGCGCGACGGCGTCTGCGTGCGTTTACAATTTATTATTTTTTTACAATTTGTTTTTGTTGTGCATTGAAGCCTTGTTTTGATTAAAACGAGTCGAAAAGTGTTGAATTAAGTGTCCGTAAATGCAATACACAAGCGTTGCAATTGATAAATTTAATTCGGTATTGTTGTTATTGCGGTTTCCAGAGTAAAGTAAACCCGTTTACCAACACGCACAGTGTTTGGAATTGCTTGCATTTGACTTTGCTCTTGCTTTTGCTTGCTGTTGCGCGCGGCTTTTAGATGCAAATTTCATACACACTATGTAGAAAGTTAATGCAAGAATAAAGAACTAAATTATATTCAATGCATTCCTCCTTGCCGCGCTGTACAACAACAACAACGACAACACCAACCACCACCACCACAACCACTATAGCCAAACTACGACGCCAACGCTGGCAAACACAACAACCACTACAGTTAGTAAACTGTAGCAACAGTTGGGGCGGCAAACAGAAATAAGTGAACAGCATTAAAGGTATGTACATATATGTGCACGCAAATGCACTTATAATGCGCACATCTATACATACATACACATCTATACATACATATGTACATACTCCAAGCTCCGCTTTATAAGACCAGCCAATGAGATTTGCGCCCACTACAATAAATGTAACGGTATTGAAAGCTGCGTCGCTGCCTGCAGGCCGCCGCGGCCATCCAAAAGCCCAACGCCCTTGACAGCTGTGCGCTGCGACGTCAGCAGAAACTCAATTGTGAAATGCAGCAAGAGAAAAGAAAAGGCAAAGGCATCCCAATCAAATGGAATTTAGCCGGTTTCCATAAAAGCAGACAAACTGCCAGACGACGACGACGGTGGCGGCGGCAGCGGCAGCGGCTGCGGCTGCGGTACACAATTCTCAAGTGAGAGCGTCTCGCTGCAGGAGTTATTGCAGACGCCGGCAGAGGCCGCAGCAGCAGCAGCGGCAGCGACGCGATGCCTCGCAAGTTTGTTTTGGGTTGGGTTTCTGCTTTTGTTGTGACTTTCGCAGCGCAAGAAAGTACCGCTAAGCTGGTATCCTCTGGGTCCAGTAGGGTGGGCTTAAAATGCACAGCGAGCTTTTATAACAGTTTTACAGTTTATATTTAATTTCAACTCGAATCTTGAATCCACTTGGGTTCCACATTCCATGCGAATGAGACAACAACAACGCAAAAATACACCCATTAAATTATGCAAATCTTAAAAAATTGGCGGGCAGGCAATGCCATTAAAAAAAAAAAGAACATTCAAATTGAATAACAAGCAAAACACAACAACAATATTAACAACAACAACAACAACAAAAAAAAAAGAAATAATATTAACAGATACATTTCTTATTATTTGCTTGAGAACTTGTTCTTTTGTTTGACATTTTGTGGCTTTTTTCACCTCTTTTTTTTTTTATTTTTGTTGTATCTTTTCGTAGCAGTGTAAAAAGTGACTCGAACGTGCGCTGGCTTAAAACGTTGAGTAATTCAGAAAGGCAGAAACGGGCACTGAATACCTTTTGGGCGGGCATTTGACTTTTGGCATACCCTTTGCCATGTTGTTGCCTCTGTATACACTTTTATTTTGTGGCAAATTCTAAAATCTTGATTCCTCTAAAATGCTTCTTTTTGTACTTCTATTTCGTCTCTTTATTCCTCTCCTTCTCATGAACTATTTCATATTGCTTAAATAAGAAAAAGAATTGGTTGAAAATACCAACAAAAAAAAATGTACCAACAATCTGCAAGGGTATTTAAAGTTCGGATATACCGAAGATAACAACTCACTCCTGTTGTTCTATTGCCCATTTTTGATGCGAGGTTCGTGCATTTGTGTGTTTCACATACATAACTAAATACATATTATGTATAAATGTATTAAATTAGCATTTTTTCTGTTGTATCAAATGATTTGATTGCGCAAAGGCTACTCGAGCAGAGAAATTGGTTCAAACTGTGACTGTCATAATTACGCAGACAGCGACACTTGCAAGCTAAATATTTATGTGCACAACAACGTTTTTAGTGTAGCGCCACAACTCAACACTGTCCAACATCATCATCATCATCATGCTCATCAGCAGCATCATCATAATTATCATCATCGTCATCGTCACCGTCATCGTCATCCGCTTGCCATTAGCCAGCTCGTATAAACATCAACGGTGCAAGTCAAAGTCGAACTATTGCCAAAAACATGTGTGTGACAGGCAGGCAAATGCAGTTTGTGTGTCACAGCAAACAGCAGAGCAAAGGAACAAACGGTACCCAGCTAGAGATGGGCGCGTGTGCAGCAGCACGAAAAATAGCCCAACAATATAGAGCCACCCTTGGTAACCCACAAAATGGGTTAACTCCACAACGGAGAAAATATATTCTCTTGTTTTTCTCTCTTTTATTAGCAAATTGATTGATACTGTGCTTGAGCATCTTAACCTAGCTTTACAGTAATGTATTGAACATGCCTAACATTACAAGTTAAGTTTTAAATTTTTTATCCAAATACCCGGTTTGGCAGTTCGATGGCGCGGATTCTGCGTAGACTGCGTCGCTTTCTTCTTCAAAGTCTGAATCTGAATATCGCAGCTTATCTCAAACCGTTCTCGAACTATCGCCTCATCTCTAAAAAATATTCATATATGTAACTGAGTTCTGCGGCCCATCCCTGGACCTAACACACATACAAACAGTGAGCGCTAAAAGTTTACCGCTTTGCATCATGTGCACGCTGACACAGTTTTTGGCTGCCCTTGCCAATTATTTATGTATGTATATGGAAATACACTTGCATACATGAGTATATATGCTCAGTTATAGTATTTCAATTGGCAGTGCTTAAGACTTTGAGTACAAAAAGTCACTTAATGCTAATTGGATGATTCTACAACACTGGCAACTTTGTTGTTTGACTAAGCTTTGCCAACACACACACACACACACACAACAATACTTGTTGTTTATTCTAGGTTCACCTACCTATTTTAAAGTTAATTAATCATGTTTAATTACACAAGTAATTAATCAGTAAATTATTGTTATTAATATTGCAAGTTGGGCGTGTCTTGTGTTATTTATAAGTTAAGTTTTTCCGGGCATTCATCAATTTTGATGAACAACTTTTTTCTATGAATTTATTCTTATAGTCTGAGCTATCAGTTTCAATTAAAAAACCTGTGAAAAACAAGCCAATTTCTTGAATACGGTTTTCGCAGAAAATCTTTTTTGAGCATTTCGTTTTGTTTCCTTTTGGTTCTGCTTTCAAATACCATAGAATTTTCGAATAACCCTATAGGGTTATCATCTGGAAATCTGTGTATTCGGGATGCGATATATTAGAATTGTGAAATATAAATTTTGCATATGATAATTTTGTATGGGATTTTGTAGATACGAATCAACTCTGAAGGTTAAACATACATAAAAGGAACATCATGAACATAAATATTTGCATAAAATATTTAAATCTGACTTTCCAGGCCTTTCTGGTGTCCCTTTTCCTACATCATTCAGTCTCTCTCTCTCTCTTTTATTATCTTCAACCCGCTGCCACACTGAACAAATCTTGATTTTATGAGAAGCGCATAGAAAGGCGATACGTGTAGCTTGTGGCTCTGCATTGGGTATCTGCGAGTCAAGCTACATACATATCTATCTTTCTTGCGTTGCCCACGTTGAATACGCAATTTAACTGCAAATCGAGTACTTTTTCAGCGTCCCTTTGCTGCCATTCAAAATTGAATGGATGGATGTGCATCAAGTGCTCATGTTGCATGCTGGTCGTTAATGCGAACTGACATGCCTCAGAATTGGCTCGACAGACGTCAACGCCAGCACTTTTATTGTTAACTCATTCTGCGAATACGAATCCTCTGTCGAGAACCGCGAGATTGCACAAAGAGATTGTGGCACATCAAATTACAGTGAAACAAGTAAAGATGTTGCGCTTTCGTTATTATGGACGAATGTCGAATACTCTGTCATCTGCTAGTTCCCTTCAAACTGTGACAATTGAGAGAATATATGTAGATATTCAAATGTGACAGACGCAAAGAAAGGAAACTTCCAGAAATTTCTAATTTGTAATTGTCCAACATATACACTCATTTTTTGACAGTAGAGTATCATAACAATGGGATGACACATACATACATACACACATATGTGTGTTACATGCATATGTATATTATATTCATATGTAAATACGAGCCGAGCTTTTGAACTGTGGCTGCTTAAAGTGCAGTTAGAAAGCGGCGCTTTTGAAAAACGAAGCTGCCAATTGGCAGGTCACACGGCGTTGCCAGCCAAACTCAAATGAAATTCCTTTAATGTTCTCGTTTTATATACATGTGTGTGCGTGTGCGTGTGTGTGTGTGTGTGCGGCTGTTGTCTGTATGAGTTGTATTTTTCTTTTATGTGTTTTTCCATTTCACACTTCTTTTTATGCGCTGCACGTTTTGTGCTGCTGCTGTTGCTGTTGCTGTTGTTGCAGCTGTGCGCATTTCTGCCTGCCGGCTGCATAGTTTTTCCATTGAGGGGGAAAACTTTTCGACAGCAGCCACCAACAACAACAACACATTGCCAATATACTGTGTTGAAGGCGGCCATAACGGTTTCAGTGCGTTCATTGGCACCAACTATTCAGCAAAAGCACCAGCCACAGGCCTTGGACATTTGCATCCGAGAAAACGCTCGAAACCGGACGCACTTTGTCACCCACCGTCACATTGATCTTTAATGGCGCATCGCGACGTGTGAGTGCGTGATGCATGACATGCACACACACACACACACATGCACATAGTACATACATACATGCATGCATGCATATGTATGTTAACGATGGGAATTCTAGTTCATTTTGAATAAGTTTAGTGGTTCATATTGTTAGTTCTCTTCAGATTTACTCTTTTCCGTTTAGTCGTCGTTTTCTTAATTTACTTAATATGCACACAAATGTCTTTATTAAAAAACTGACTTATGTAGCTTCACATATACTAAAGCTTAAAGTATCAATATCATATTTTGTTCAACAACTAAACAAACAAAATGTTTCATTTTAATGAGCCGTTTAATTGAACTTGTTCCAATAACATTTCAAATGTGGCAACACCTTTTTCCTGTCTGTTTCCATTTCAAATGGCACAATTTGAAATGAAGAAGCGACAAAAAAGTTCTTACCATGCCGTAAACGCATGTTGTTCACAACGAAAAATTCAAGCATTAACATATGCATATGTACATACATACATATGTATGTGTGTATTAATAAATTGATGTATACGACTAACGGCCAAATAGGGCACATCCGTTTTCCGGTCGCTGTCATCGTGTGCAAAATAACGGCAAGCAACAATAACATCGGCCCTTATTTATGGAAAGGCCAAATTGTTGTCGAACGAATGAGTTCAAGAACCTCACGCACACGCCGTGGGGGTTGTTCAGAGTTGTTGTTGTTGTTGTTGTTGTTGGAGCGGCAGACGCAGCCTTCGTTTGTGTTGCGTTTTAATTAAAAACGCAGTCGCAGCTGCAATCGAAGCCAATTGAATCAATAGACTTCACTTAACATTCGCAATTGAATTGTCTTCTTCTGCGCACCTACATACGCTTGCAAAAAGCCAAACAGTGCTGCCAGCCTGCGCAAAATCCAACTAGACGGCAGACAAGTGCGCACAATGCGGCGTGCGCGCGCGTATTGTTCTTGTTGCTCATTTTTTTTTATTTGTATAGCATTGCCTGCCAACGCGCACGCACGCAAGCGTTTTGTAGTTTCCATTGTGATTACATGTGTATGCATTTACATACATATGAATTATATGAATATGTGTAAGTACAAACATACACAGAGTTGTTCAGTTATGTATTTGCATATTTATGCGCGCCTGTTTTGTTGCCAGTTCATTAATGAAGTCATCCAGTTAAATCAAGTTTTGCCCCACGCTGGCAGAGTGCCGTTCGTATGTGACGATTGTTAAAATCCAAGTGCCTTTGCAGTAGTAGTAGTTGTTGTTGTTGTTGTTGTTTTTGTTATTTGTAATTGTTGTTGTCTTTCTTGTTGTTTTCCCCGTTGATGACATCAGCAGCCAACGCTTAACGTTTGCATTTCGCATTTTGCACTATTTTTGTTTTGTTGCATTTCCAATTCCAGTGCAAGAGAGTGAGAGTAGGGGACTGGAAGTGGAGTGGGCATATGCGTAAATGATGCCCTATTGTTATTGCTGTCAAATGGTAAACAGTTACTTCAATTGAACTCAATTTGAGCTACGCGAACTGTCGTCATTTCGAGAATCGTTAAGAATACGTGAGTGTGTGTGTGTGTGTGTGTGTGTGTGTGCAACTGTGTGTTAATTAGATTTTCGACATCTCGAGAGGGTCTTGAGTGGCAGCGCTCTGATTGTTGCTGCTCAGCATATTTTTGTTAATTCTTCGAGCCATAAGCATAATTAACAAGCCACTTAACAAACAAGCATGCACACACACTAACACACACACACACATTGTATGTACGTTGCCAGGCTGGCATTTAAACAGCATCAGCTTTTTTGTCAGTTTCAAGTGGCGCCCCCACAGTTAACCGTTAGGTGACAATCTGTGTGGTTGGAGTTAATGCGTTAATATCCACACATATACATGCATACATATTTGCTGCTGTGTGTTTGTGTGCATGTCACATAAACCCTTTGACAACGGCAATAATAAATGCAGCAGCTCGTTAAATTTAACACGTTGCCCACACGCACACACACACGCACACAAATTTGGATTGCATTTTTGTATGCAGCTCGAACGGATGTGTGTGTGTGTGTGTGTGTGTGTGTGTGTGTGTGTGTGTGTGTATGCATGTATGCATATTATTTCGAACTTTTTCCTTGTTGCGTATTGCACGCACGTACGAAAAGGGGGGAGATTGCAATATAAATTAAACACCCTCCGTGTACAGGCGTCAGCGTCGATGCCGGCGCCACTGCTGCGCCTGCTCTGCTGCTGCGCTGCGCCTGCTCTGCTGCTGCGCTGCGCCTGCTCTGCTGCTGCTGCCGGAGTGACCTTCACAGTCCATAAAGAAGAAAAAATAAAAACGCACGCGATTTTATTAAGATTTGTCGTCGACCCCAGCGACCT